ATGCGCAGAAAGTTTTTAGCTTTGAGGTCCGGATTATGGGTGTCTGAATTAACGACTTTTGACTGTAGTTATTTTGTGAATTATATGTTTGTAGGAATTTGATATACGTTTCAGTGGAAGTAAACGTGCATGGAAATAATTTAAATATTTGACACTAAGTATTTGTAACCATTTGTAATGTTTGCGGTATGAATTCGTTGGTGACGTTTATAATATAATAGATAATTTAGAAGTAAAAGTTTTTGGATATTTTATTTATTTTATACATGGAAATGTTCATCCTTGGAAAGGGTATATACTTTTTCGTGATCAGGTAATTTAATATGTGTTCTTTTTACCGGATTTAAAGATTCACAAAAGTTTCATGCATTTTCGTGAAATTTTTCTAATTTATGAGAAAAAAGCAGTGTGCATGGATATAGTGAAGAGTGTGCGCAATGCCATTTTTGTGCAATTCTGGGATGTTTTTTTAAGTAAAAATAAGTCGACGTGTACATGGTTTAGTGATATTTTAATTAAATGATAGTTATTTTGTGAATTTTATGTTTGTTGGAATTTGGTATACGTTTCAGTTGAAGTAAACGTGCATGGAAATAATTTAAATATTTGACACTATGTATTTGTAACCATTTGTAATGTTTGCGGTATGAATTCGTTGGTGATGTTTATAGTATAATAGTTAATTTAGGGGTAAAAGTTTTTGGATATTTTATTTATTTTATACGTGGAAATGTTTATCCTTGGAAAGGGTATATACTTTTTCACGATCAGGTAATTTCATATATGTGCTTTTTACCAAGTTTAAAAATTCACAGAATTTTTTTGCATTTTCTTGCAAATTTTTGTAAATTATGAGAAAATAGCAGTGTAGATGGATAAAGTTAAGAGTGTGTGCAATGCCATTTTTGTGCAATTCTGGGATGTTTTTTTTAAGTAAAAATAAGTCGACGTGTAAATGGTTTATGTGTATGTGCTACTCTGAAAAACGTGCAAGGAGTTTGGGATTGTGCACTTTTCCCAATTTTGCAGTTAATATTTGTCATGATCAAGCAGTTTTGTTACATAAAATTTCTAGCATAAGTGTAATTCGGCTAGTAGATTGTTGGAAAAAGTGTTGAGTAAATAAAAAGAAAAGAAACATGTCTTTACTTCGTGAAGACAAAATGGCGGCGAAAAAAAATAGAGGGTTGCTGTAGCAGAGTTGGTCGCCAAAAAATCGCCAAGTTACCATAATCAAAAGATCAACTAAAAAAAGTTGCTGTTGGTTTGGAGGCTGGATTTTATATCATTCTGGATATTGGACATTTGGGTTTCAGACTTTGTACTGTGTTTCATTAATTTCGTGCAGAATGGTGCTTTAACTCTTTGAAATCCAGACCCTTTGCTAACTTGTATCCTCAAAATACTGAACTGTCCGAAATAGTTTTCCAGTTTCACAGCAATTTCCTCCCCTCCCCTCCCCGTCCATTAACTCAGAAAATAGGTGTGAAGATTTCCAATGACATCCTTTGTACTTTCTAAGAAAGATTCCATTAGCCTTTGACCTCGTTCTTTATAAAACTATTCTTAAGGTCAGACCAACAAGCCTTTCTGTCTTTGTTTATGATTACGACTAAGATTTTGTTTATTTCCATTATTTTTATGGGATGGAATAAATTGTTTAAAAATTAATATAATCCTTAAATTTTGAAACTGCTCTTTTATTGCTGTTTAAAGCGTAAAAGTACACTGTACAACAAAAGAATCAACAACGAAATGTCTCGATCAATCAAAATATAAGAAACATCTTAGGACAAGCTGTCTGCAGTAAACTGATACAATGCATTTGGGAAAACTGCACCTGCTACTGCATATCTTAGGAGGGAAGGAAACAAGATTACAATCTCGGCCATTTTCGGGCAGTTATGGTTGTTTCAATGTAGGGCCATGTGGGGCAGATTGGATAAATCATCAGTAAATTAGCACTTAGAAGATTCAGCATTACAATTAGTTCAATCTCTGGTTTGCTTCAAGTATATGCGGGTTCCACTTTTTCTAATAGTACTTCATCAATCGACAGCTCAAAAATTTTATATTTGTGTGAACTTAACTCAGAAACGCACATTCTATACTTTTCCTTTCAAGTTTGCTGAAAATTTCTGCAATTTGGTTGTTTGGCAGAAATGTGCGATGCTTGTTCATTAATTTATCTAATTTTTCATAAGTATGTGTAAGCAAATTAAGTAACGACTTTTAAGTTATTTAAACTATTTATAGGGAAGGATATTAAGGTAAATAATTTATTTTCGAATTTATGTTGAAATTCTTGAATTGTTGATGAGAATTTTTAAGTGAATGAAATAATTATGAAACATTAGTATAAAATATGGTAGACAAATAGTGTGCGCAATGAATTGTCAGTTTATCTCTCAGCACTATCCTCATCTTCAGGGCAGATGTTTTTATTTTATTTGGCTTATAATTCCTTACTAAATGTAGTATTTCATCTCGATGTACTTCATCTTTGATATGATTTAAATCGAATTCGTCATCATTATAATTTGCTTCCGATAGTGAAGAAAGTGACACAGAGGTTATTGAAAACGAAAAAATTTCGATTGACAAATTAGTCGGTATTCTCGACACAGCAATTATAGGACTTGAACAGCGGAACTTTGTAACTGAACAAGAAATTATGTCTGTTTATAGAATTAAAGAGAAAGTATTATCACATAAAATGAAGCAACTTAAACAACTTGCATTGAAAGAAATGTTTAATAAAGTAAGCAAATAAATATTAAGCTTTTTTTTTTTTTTTTTTTTTTTTTTTTTTTTGTAAATTTTGATGCCCTTTAGATCACAGTTGCTCTTTATTTCATAAATTACGGTTTCATATTTTAAATTTCATAATTTCTGCATGCCGTCTTACCAGATTTAAACTGATGATCTATAATACGGATAAATCGATGATCCAGAATCGCCGAGTCCTGATGAGTCCGGATTAACGACTTTTGACTGTACTTAAAAAATTAGGACATTCCTTACAATGTCTTACAGAGAAATGAACTTTAAGGTTTTAAAATTTCAATAGAATTTTCAATTTGAATTTATTGTTAAAAATGATATCTACAAGATTTTTTTATTTAGAAAAATTATTTATATCAAAATTCTGTGATTTTTGTTTTTCCACTATTGCATTTTCCTTTGTTTCGCTAATTTTGTAATGCTTTTTTCTGAAAAGGCTTTTCTGTCGCACGTATTTGAAGCAAAGCGCAAATTGTTGACCTTGAACTAACTGTAATGCTGAATCTCTTAAGCACTAATTTACTGATGATTTAAAACGCTTTTTTTTTTTTTTTTTCCTAAATATTGTAGAGGTGGACGAAGCAAATTCAATATTCCTTTCACTAGGCATTCAAACTTCTGGATTTATCGCGTGTTTTTTTTCTAAAGTACTTGCAAAACACCACAGCTGAAGGATGATAGGTTATTTTTTAAATGCTGAAAAAAATGTTTTCTTCTTTAACATTGCCTTTGAATTTATCACAGAACGATGATTTGAAGAGCTGAATAAATTTTTCATTGAGGACAAGTTTGAATGACAGGACAGGTTTATTTTCTGTCCTGTTATTCAAACATGTATTTATTTCAGCCCGACTAATTGACATAATAAAAGCGCAAGGAAAAGCCGGAACTCTGTTGTTGCGTACATAGATCCATATTGAAGAATTCTGATTGCAAAGTATGCTAATGAGTTGACTTTGTAGCATCTAAAAACTTGGCAGTCGAGGCAGTTTTAATTCCATTTTTGTTTGCAATTGATATTTGTGGCCACAGTTCACTTGGCACTCAAGTTGTGCCTAATCAAGAACATTAACATTTTTGATAGTATTGCAATAGAAAGCAGCATAGCGAAATTACGTCCAAGTAGAGACAAAAGCGAAGTGCGTAGTTATGCAAGATGGAAGCACACAAAGAGAAAAGTTTTGGTTTGAGTTAAAAAGTTTCAGTTTACAATTATTACGTCATCAGCACTGCGCAGGCCATGCAAAATCGAATGATTTAGAAATGACGCAATCCAGAGAAGTCATTACAATTTTTATAACAAAGGAAGAATTAAAAGGTTACCGTTAGATTAAATTATAATTTTGATTTGCATATTTTTTATTTTGCATATATATTCTCCCCCCCTCCCATGTTTAACATCACTTTGCAGAGCACTCGTACAATGATGTTAGCTGCCATCATGCTTTGGAGATTTTTGATTACCTGCATTCCCGCTGAAAAATTGTGCACTTGTTAGTGACTTTGGAGAGCATTCGTGGACTCGTTTCTAACTAATATCTTCTCAAGCTGTGCATGGCGGGCACCAGCTATTTTCAAAATGGTGGGACACTAAAATTTTCACACAAGAGTAACTGATCAATAAAATTTAGAAAGTAGGAGACCTTGGTAATGAAATTGTTATCTTGTTTGAGAAATCCTTTTTTTTATACTTTTGTTTGTTTATGCATATGTATAGTTATGTATTTTTATGTTTTATGCTTTTGTTTGTTTATGCTTACAGCATGTTTATTACAGCAATTTATTTTTCTTGAATCTCGTTAGAATTAATCAAAGGTCACTTTGGGCAGAGTCTGGAACAGACATGCTATTCGCATACCTGGGTTGCCGTAGAACTTTTTGCGACATACTTGCTTTACCTCACGATTACTTTTTCATGACCTTTTGGTGCAGATGCAAGTAATCATAAAGGGCTTGTTCTTTAGGACCTCCAGTGTATGTAGATTAGTTATATAGACCTTTAACGCTAATCTCTTTTGGGGAGGGAAAAACAAATTGGGTGAAAGTGAAGGAGGATTTGTAATTTTTTGCATGATACGGTTGTCAGAAATTTTCATGCAGAAATTGCATGATATCATGGTGTATGTGGTAGATTGCACCATCTTCCTGGATGTTCGACTTCAAGAAGAGTGATAAACTTTTTAATATCTTTGTACAGGGTGTCCGAAAAGTATTTCCCTGATTACATAAATTGATAACTCAGGCTAGAAGTAAGATACAAATATGAAACTTGTGTCGAATTGTTTACAAACTATCAAAGTTTTTTTCCTGTTTTAGGTTCGCAGTACGTAAGTAGTGGATGAGGTGCAGTGCCCAAGAAGCCATGTTAACCACAGTCGTTGAATCGATCCCTCCAGTGATGTTGGCTAATGTGTGGACGGAAATTGAATATCGCCTAGATGTGCTACGTGCTACCAAGGTTGCTCATGTGGAAGTTTACTGATGTGTGAAAAAAACTTTGATAGTTTGTAAACAATTAGACACCAGTTTCATATTTGTATCTTACATCTAGCCTGAGTTATCAACTTATGTAATCAGGGAAAGACTTTTCGGACACCCTGTACATTGGCAGCATACATTATAATTTCAAATATTGTTCAATGCTAAAAACAGCAACAAAAATGCTCTTCAGCAATGAGTATTAATTTTATTTGGTGACATGGTGTACAGTACAAAGTCCGAGGTCCTGACACCCAACACCCGTATCTTCTAAAATCTGGTCCTCAAAGCCACCAACAATTGTTTTTTATGAATTTTCTTATACAGTACAAAGCCCATAATCTGGATGTCCATTATCCGGAATAATCTATAATCCAGACCTCAAGGCCACAAACTTTTTTTTTTGTATGCTTTATGCATGCGCATAAAGAATGCGCACGTTTAATGTATGCTCCATGCATGCGCGCGTTGAAAGAAATGTTTAATAAAGTAAACAAATAAATACTAAGCTTTTTTTTTTTTTATATAAAATTTGATACCCTTTAGATCATAATTGCTCTTTAATTCATAAATTACGGTTTCATATTTTTAATTGTATAATTTCTGCATGCCATCTTACCAGATTTAAACTGATGATCTATAATCCAGAAAAACCCCTAATCCAGAATCGCTGAAGTCCCGACGAGTCCGGATTACGGACTTTGTACTGTATATGCTTTACAAATGCACATCCCTCCATAATAATAATAAAAAAAAAAAAAAAAAAAAAAAAAAAAAAACATGTAGAAAGTCCCGATTCTTAATTTCACTTTGGCACTAAATAAAACACCTCATTATTGAAGAAACAATCATTCTAGTATAAATTTGTGTGATCAATAATTAATATAGTTCTAACAAAAATTACATTAACAATTAAACTGAAACTATGTATTGAATAATTTATAGTTTTGCGATGCATGAGTAGATTAATAAACAAGCAAAACATAGAAGTTCAAAAACAGTTTATTTCAGATATTAGCTGTAGTGTTGCAGAAGAGAAACTTCATCCCTTTCACAGTAAATTCATTTTTTAGAATAATCTTCATTTTGTAGCAGTGTAACATTTGACTGTTAGTCCAGTAATGAAGGAATTTTTCTTTCCATTTCTTTATTTATTATCAACAGTCTATGAGCTTGTTCTTTCTATTGAAAGTCCATCTTTCACAAATAAAACTTAATTGTGGGTCGTGACCCACAGTTTAAGAAACTCTACTTTAGATCATAAATGCTTCATTATTTCATAAATTAGTATTTCATATTTTTAATTTTATACTTTCTACATGCCATCTTACTACATTTAAACTGATGATCTAATATATGGAAAATTCCCAAATTCGGGATTGCCTAAGTCCTGACGAGTCCGAATCTCGGACTTTGTACTGTATATGTTTAGCAGCGAAACAGAACTATAATGCAGACATTGTGTGACCATTAGATAACAGATGGCATATTTGCTTATTGTTAAAAATCTGCGCTCTATGGTGTTAAAACTCTAGTGACAGATGATTCACTTATTCTACTGCAGTTCAATTTAGAGTAAAAGATATATTAGACTGCGAGTTTTTTTTATTCTCTGGATATTTGAAGAAGAAAGCATCCATTACATTAGCCGTAGGTCCTAAGTATCAGTTACCACACAAGAACTAGGCTAACTTATTTTTTAAATTTAGTAAAGTTTTTTTCCTGGTTTGGTGATCAAAGTTCAGCTCTACCACACAAGAATTTGGCTAACTTATTTTTTAAATTTAGTAAACGAGTTTTTTCCTGGTTCGGTGATCAAAGTTTACGTCTCTCCTGAACATTTTTATAATAATGTAACGTAGATTTCTTACATATAATTATTTCAGCCGATTGTGGTACAGTATGAAAGATGAAGCTACTTTTGATATGATTGATATTTTTCATAGAGTGACTAAGTTGGGGATTTGCTGGTAAATGTAATACATCAATAATTTGCATCCAGCTGGTAGACAAATACCTAACTGCCTTGCATCAAAATCAGTGTTGATGAACCTTACTGAGGGAAAATAGAAAACATTGAGTTATCTCATTTCTTTTTAGGTAATAAGAATCCTCCCCCATTTTTTTCTTTAAACTGATTTGTTATTATAATTGGCTTTTAATTTTTATAGGTATTTAGATCTGACTACATAGGCTTAAAAGATTGATTTACTATCAAAATCATTCATTTGTTAATTTTTATATGTAAATATATTGCTTTAACATGTAATATATGTATAAATAAACATAGGGTTAGTCCTTAAATAACCAGACCTCTAGCATATTGCACAGATATGGTGGGTGGAAAAACTTGTGAAGCAACATAGTGGGCTGTCTTAGTTATGTATTACAACCAACTACAGTTAGCTCTAAGAAGTGGGAGTGAGTAGATTATGAATCTAGTGAACTTCTCCAAGTGACATATCACAAATGCAGCATTCATTTGAGTAGCATTATACCATCAAATTTCAGCCTGACTGAAAAATATGGGAAGAGACTTTCAACATGTTGCAGGCAACTTATGGGAATGGTTGCATGTAAAGAACACAGATTTTTATTAGACATAAGAAAGATATTAGAAAAGAGGGCATACAGGATAAAAACAGATAAGTCAACTTTCCATGAGAATAACAGATGAAAATGTAGATTGTGTATGCAACCTTTTGAACAGTGATCTATGTAGATTAATCATGGACAAACTAAACCTGCTGAAAATGCAAGTCATGAAATTGTGACAAATGCATTAGCCGAACAAAATTGGTGTCAGAAGTTCTGACATTAATAGACAGCCATAAGTAACAATGTGTCCTGAATTGTTGGAGCATGTAGCAACAAACTTTATGCATCATCTGATCATATGAGGTGTATCATCAGTCTTTAGTATCTCCAGACAAAATGCCAAAGTTTTAGATGGCATGTGCTGAAGCCAGCCTGTAGAAGGCTTGGATGAGCAAGTTGAAGATCAAAACACTGTTAATTTTGTTCTATGATTTGATAGAGATCATCCCTCTCTAGAGAATGGCAGTGAATGCAGATTTTTATATTCAGGTACTGGCAAGATTTTTGGAAATGGATCATTCATGTATGTCCCAAGATCTCCAACATCTGGATCCTCCATTGTGGCAAGAGGAAGTTTCTGACCAAGAACAGAGTGCCAACCAATGCTGTCATAGCTTGTTCTGGGGCTTGGGGTTCTCTGGTTTGAAAAGAGATATAAGGACACAACCATTGAAGCTTTTTAAGAAGCTGTCACATGGAACATCCACAACAGGAATTTGTGAAACATTATTGGGAGCATTGTGTGTCTACTCAAGGGCTAATTTTAAATATTATTAAATATACTTCTCTTATTTAAAAGAAACTGAATTTCCCAGAATAAATCTGGTTACTTTCAGACAAAACCTTTATATAAATAACAGTATCAGACGGTCCTTTATCTTTTTTTTTTATTGATAATCAAATACATATTCTCGAAGCTTTAATTATTTACCAAATGATATATTTTCTTTTGTTTCAGGACAAAATGAATCCACAGTATGGTGGCCCATTGGAAGCTCGAGCCCCTTTAATGCCAGCATATAATCAGGCTCCTCCATCAAATTCATACAATGCCTTTGAAATGCATGGAGGGCCAGGTAATTATATGTTATATTTTATTTATAAGAGATTTTCACAGTATATCACTGAAATGACAAAGCATCAGTTGATGCATTCCCTTTGGCCAAAAACTTGTTTATTAAGTATTAATTGAGAATTATTATTATTAGTTATTTAACTGTTTGTTTGTCAAGAACATTGTTCAAGACATAAACAATGTTACACCCACAAGAAGAGATTAGACAACTACAAACATCAATGCCTTTTAAAGAATTTGAACCTGGGCTCAATGATATGGCTGTAAGCTTTGCTAACTACCATACCAAATGAGATGGTATTAATTTATACTACACTTTGGGAAACCTTCTAAACAGATGGCATTTTTTAAAATTATTGCATAATTTTTAAAGATGATAGTGTGGTTCTGAAAAGAAGGTGGGGATTGGCTAATAGCTTATATTGATAAAACTTCAGTGTAGAATTTTCTTGAAATAACAAGTCTTAACCAGAATACAGCTATTCATTGAAGTGGCTTTAAATCAGTTTTACTAACTCAGTTCTTCAATTTAATGATTTCGAATGCCTTCTTTTACTTTTCCTGGGAAAATGACTTACTAGTTTCGTGTGTGATGGACCTGAACACAATTATATTTGTTTCCTTGAACTTGTATAACTATTAATACGAAGTTTTGAAACGGATATTTTTTCCTGATTGTTACCTAACTCCCATTGTCCATATAGTACGATATGAAGATTACTCTTTTATTGATTTCTTCAGTGGATCTCCATTTCAATTTTGCATTTTGTATCTGTGGAACAAATAAGATTAGCTGTTCACCTTTTTATATTTTGATGAAACTATCAGTATATCTCATCTTTTAACTATAAGAAGAATATTTTTGTGGTTGTGTGTAAAATAATGTTAAAGTTATTTGTAGATGCAGAGCAGGCATATGCGATTTATCAGCAATGGCTGAATATTGTCATCATTGATATTAACAGTTTCTTGCTTATTGTTATCATCAGTTTGGAAATTGTGTTAAGTGAAGTGAGTTGATAGTTTTAACCTTAAATTCATTACATTGGAGCTATCTATTCTTTTAAGAGATGTTATAATTACTAGAATTTGCTTTATTTAAACTGCCAAAATGATCTAGAAATTTGCCTGCTTACTTATATCAAGTCAAATATTGCATTAAAAATATGTAAAAAGTGCTTAATTTCTTTATAAACATTTTAGCAGATTCATGATCTACAAGTTGAATCGACTGACACATAAATTTGCCATGCTTAATTCCTCAATAGTCATTGTGAATTTGTATGCAGAGTCATGTGTCGTGAACCGAATAGTAGGAAATTAGTTGAGCTATATTGATTGTCTGTTTTTAATAATTCTGGTTCCGCTAATGGCTTAAAAAATACGTGTTATTTACATCCATCCATGTTTATAGTCCACTGTAAAAAAGACCCTTGTTTTCTGGTTTAGCTACTTTTTTTTTGTTTTGTGATCATTTTCACAAGATTGTGAAGGTCCCTTGTAGTTTCATGAAAGACTTTGTTATGTTAATTTAGAGTAATGACACATAAAAAATTAGAATTTCAAACTTTAAATCCACTGCTTAATAAACATGCACTTGAAAAATGTGAAAGATTTCCACTTGAAAAATGTTACATTATTAAATATTGCAAAATAATTATATTCTGAATTTGCAAGAGCATAATAATCTGTGATTGATGTTTTTGTTTAAGTACCAATAATTTCTAAAAGCCTACCGATCAGAATAAAAGAAAAATGGTTAATGATTTTTTTTTAGTCATTAAGATTTTTTGTGTACTTTAATGTAACATATTATTTTTTCTTACTTAATTTTTTCTTAAATATGCTTTATATTAATTTTAAGAACTTAAAAATAAAATTAAAAAGCAAGCGTAAACATTAATGTATATAAAGTAAATGCGTAATTTTAGCATATCATCTTGGTGTTATGTGATGCTTTAAACATTATGCGTAATATATTAAAGACATTTAATTAAACCTATATGACATTTAATTAAACAATCTTTAAACATTTTTATACTTACTATATCCTTAATATCTCATCACTATTGCAAACAGTTGTCTACAGTGCTTGCCTGATTTAAGGCAATGCCTTTTTTTGTATTACCATATTTTGGCCATTCTTGTCCAAATTTAGCGTGATTTCAGTTACAGCAGGTAACTAATTCCCCTTCCAAACTTAAAAAACTGCGTTCTGAATATTTCCAGTTGCTAAAACAAAATCTTGGCTATTGAATAAAATTCATTTGACAAAAAAGAATTTCTCGTACTTACGCATTATTGCAATCGCCTTAGAAAAAGTCACCATACTCTGGCAAATATGTGCGTAACGCAACCATATCCTTTGTAAGTTTCAATCTGAAAATTCATCTAATCACCTTTTTCTTCAAAAAAAAAAAAAAAAATTGCCAAACAGAGACAAGGTGTGTGCTAATACAAAAGTACCAAATTTCAGTTTTGACCGTTTCAGTGTTTATTTCTGCATTCCTTTAAAAAATATATATATAAATGGAGAGTAACCAGACATCCAGTATTTATGATTGTATGTCGCGTTTTGTCCTTGATTTTTAAAAGAGACTGCTTCCACGTGTAACTAATCAATTTCTCTGCTAAATGTGTCAACTCATACTCAAATATTTTTTTTATTATGAATAATATTTGGCCTTCAGAAAAAGTTGATTACAGGTGTCAACACTAGAAGAACATTTATACTTGGAAAATTAATTTTAAATATCTATATAATGAATTTAATAAGCATATAAAATCTGGCGAAGAGTTTCTGAGAAAAATGTTAGCTAAGAAGTAATATTCTATCCATTAATTTTTTCAAATTATAAATGGTCCAAAAATGTGTAGTCTGTTTTCTTGTATATTAACTATTTTGTTGTCAGTGCTGCACAGTTTTATTTTACTCCTTTATACAAAATTGTCCTGAATATGGGTATCACCAAAACATTTTGGAGAGGGAAGATGGAGACAAATAACTGCATCAATAGATTTTTATTTAATTTGTTAAAATTTACTCTTTGGTACTCCTTGGCGAATTGTTCCTTTTTTTATGCCAAATCGGTGCCAGAAAGGATTGGCACCAATTTTAAGATGGTGCCGATACTTCTCCCCGCGACACAAAATCAAAACAAGGAGTCAAAGACTTACACAAACTCGGTGTCCATGTACACATCGACCTATTTTAACGTAAAAAATCAGAGAATTGCACAAACTAGGCATTGCACTCTGCCTTAACTTTGTCCATCTACACATTGATCTATTTTCACTTAAACAAAATCAGGAAGCTAAAACAAAGTTAAAACTATCATGTTAACCAGAAAAAATTCGCTATTGTCCTAACCCAAGAGACAAACAAACAACCAAAAATACACAGAGAGTAATAAATAACCAAAAATACATATTTCCTAACATAAAACAACAAAAACAAACAAATATTAACAAACAGACATTTTAACAAAAATTAACAAACAGAGACAAATAAATAAATGAAATGTCAGTTTTTTAACATAACTTTTTTTTCACGTGCATATGCTCACACTCCCAACCACTACCTCCTCCATCCACCATGTAAGCAATTCAATTAAATTTTTGGTCATTTCAGCCCATCCTGTGTTAATGGCAGATAAATACGTACAATAGCCTCCAAACCATCAACATTCATCTTGCTTACCTCAGACATACTCAAATGATGGTGCAACCAAACACAGCAATTGAAAAGAATGGTAAGAATAAAAAAAACCCGGTCCATACAAAAGGGTTACTATTACAAAAAATAGCCAAAATCTCAATTTATCACAACATGTTTGGTGATATTCATAGAAATAACCCCTTTTTAATGACAAAAATTTAAAAAAAAAAATATTCCCCAAGGCTAGTTTTGCCAACATTAGCAACTGTAGGGTTACCGGAAAACCTGTTTTCACGCAGTGGGCTTCCAGATTTCATGAACAAACAATACCACTTGGTGATTTTTTTTAGACAGAAACCAAGGAGTACCGTACAGTAAAGATCAGCTATTTAATTTTTTAATGGGGGCTCAGAAGTAAATTATAAAATTCAGTATGGCAACAATGAAAAATACAATGTATTATACATATACTTTAAATGCATCAATACGAAACATGTTTACTCGTTTCCAGCAGTGTCATATCTCCACAAAGCACACAAATCTTAGATTTTTGTTTTACAAATATGGTAACATTATAAATAGGAGCATAGGAATATATAAGTAACATTCAAAGTTACAGCAATTCCATAATTAGATTGACAGTAGAAACTGAGACAATTTTTTCCATAGATGCAATGTTAACCCCTTCTTTGTCGAATCTTTTTTCCGAATTTCTGACCCCTAAAAAGCATTTTTTTTTTAATTGCTGAAAATTAATATATGTTCTCTCCTCAATTCAAAAATGCAAAATATTTTTGACAGTAAGCAATTTTTGATGGATCTACAGGTGGTCAAATATGTAATATCCCATCCACTGATCATCAGTTTTCCCTGCAATGCATCCAAGTTTTAAATAAAAAAAATTACAATGTGATACCATATTTATTAACTCTCTTGTTTTTATGTGTTTAATATAAATATCCACATAAGATAATTATTAAAATTACATAAAAAATGCTTTAGAAAAAGGTTTTCCAACCTTATCATTACAGCAGCTTTACAATCTGCCTTGGGCATCAGAGCATAAAAACCACATATATCACAAAACCAAAATCGTTTATTTAATAATAATAATAATAATAAAAGAGGCTATGAATATCAAAAATATCTTGAATGTGTTTTTTTTTAGTTGAAATTCTAATAGATATCGTGTGAATATTCAATAACAGATATTCAAGGCGGCAAATCTCACTGTGAAAATTGTGAAGAAACTAGGACTAGTCTTGCTATCTCTTAGCAATTTCCAGAAATATTAAAATAATCTTGGAATTTAAAGCAACATACGAATAATGACGAATTCAGTTTCAAGGATGGAATTTTTCACTTCATCGCATGACGCCAACCTTACCTGCACAAAAATGCTGAACGTGTGAGATCCGATGCTGACCTAAAAGAGGTTAAAATAGGATAGATAATGCTCAGTTAAATTTTTTTTTTTTTTTTTTAAATGAAGACATTTACATAATAGAATTATAATTCATGACATCTGTGTGTAGTTTAAAAAATTATCAATAACACGAATTTGTGTGATTTAGTTCATAATCATGAAATTGATTTTTTTTATATGGAGAAGATTTAAATATTATAAGAAATTTGTTGACATTAAACTGATGAAGTTTTGAGTTCCTGTTCTCTCTGTTGTATTTGTTTCTTTTGTAAATCACTTTTCGAAAAACTTTATCTTCTTCAAGAGCATTTGACTTCTGATTAAAAAAAAGAAAAGAAAATTCAGGTTTGTTTCTGAGTTATTCTGAAAAGTCATGTCTGTATTTTGCAGTTATGAATAAAGGTTATCCGCCAGCAAATTATCAAACTGCTGGAATTCAGAATGGCCCATCAATTAATTTTCCTGGTCATATGCCAAACCAAAGTAATTCTCAAGTGCAATCTGCTGCAGTGCCTCCAGATCAGATGATTAATAATCAGGTAATATGCCTTAATAATCAGGTAACCAAAATATAATAGATTTTTAATAAGCCTTTACAAATTTCATTATTGAAAATGCTGAAAAATTATATTTGTAAGAAAACATTTTATGTCGCTTTTTTCGTATAAATTGTAAAATCTTCTCAATGAGTGTTTCAGATTTTTTAATTACTGCAGATGCGTACCGTGTAATATGTGTGTTTATAAATGTGCAATGAAATGTACTTGTTCTGAAACTAATTTTTGTTTGATCTTTTAATTAGTTTTCCTCTACACCATCAGAACTGTCTTTTTATTTTGTTTCCTCATTTTTTCCATTACTAATTATAGTCTGCTTCTTTAGATTAGGCACCTCAGCCCCCCCAAAAAACAATGCCTCATAACCATTGTAATGATTGCTACAGGAAAAAAGGAAGATAAAATTTTAATAATCTGCTAAAATCCTTCAATTCCCTCTAAAAAGCATGGTACAGTCGTAAATGAGAAGAGGGTTGCTGCGGCTGTCTTGCGACTAATGCCTATTTTAAAGTAATTCAGTGTGCCCATTTGTACCTATTTTAAAGACTATAATATAGGTTATAATGACCTTGCCAGGAAATTATAGTTGGTATGTTTCAGTGTTGGGAGAAATCCGGTTGATAGCAAGCTATTGCCCTTTTACCTGCTTTGCTATTTTGCTGGTTCCTATTAGGTAGAAGATTGAAAATGTTAAGCATATTAAATATTTAGCAATGAGAAACTAAGAAAATTTTCACTAGCTGTAGAAACATAAATTTTGTGCCCACGTGTAGATAGTGTAGTGGAGTAATTGCATTCTTAATATTTTAACATTTACATGCACTGTCCATTGTTTGCTGCACTGTATCTGTGCGCACTCGTTATAGCGCGAGTATAAAGACTTGAGGACTTACTTGCACTTGAGTGTTCCTTCTTGTTCGTGGTCGACATTTGACATCAGCTTATCATCATGTATTTAATTTTATCTTTTAATTTTAAATAAAGTTAATTTTATGATTTTCTGGTTATGCGTTGCCAGAGTTGAAGTGCTCGAGGAAGCTGAAAATTGAGATTCTGTGATAGCAGTTCCTGTGCAGACGATTCTATAGTGGAGCTACAAATCAGGAATATTTCAGTGAAAGTACTAACTACTTAGTATGTCAATGCTAATATTGGATAATGTTTTCCCAGGTGATGGTAAATTTCAGGGTGCAGGTAGGACTGGTTCATGGGAATTTATTCTCCCCTCAATATTAATGTGTACAGCATTATTTTATGTAATGAATGTTTTTTATTTTTGTTGATATGCATTTTCATTCCAGTGTGTATCCCTAATAGGTACGGATATGTAATAGGTTTTCTATCCTGTTTAATGTAGTTGTAGGAAGTTGATTGTCGTATAATGAAAATTCTGTTGATGACTTAGCAGCTGAAGTGTAGCAGCTACACATGTGTCACATGCTTCAATAAAATTACCGTCTTTTTGGAAAACAACCCCTGCCTTATGATTTATGAGATTGGAATCACAATTTTCTCTTTCCAGCATAACTTTGGATTTAACAAAATTTAACCAAGCTGTAGACTCTGATATACTTAATACTGTTGCCGATATCATTCTAAAATCCTTCTGCTACTGGAAAATATGATGTCCTAAAACAAAGATTGGTTTCATTTCATGCTGAGAGCAAAGCATCAAAAATTCATACTCTGTTGCAAGAATTAAAGCTTGGTAAATAACACCGTTCTCAGTGATTGACTCGTATTCATGCTGTGGCAGGTGATATTATAGATGAACCCTTGCTAAGATCTTTGTGGCTTGGAAGGCTTCCTAATAGAGTACAGTCTATTTTAGCTGCTCTTTGTAAACATGTTTGGAGTAAATTGGCTATGGTTGCTGGCCAGATTACTGAGCTTGCATCTCGTTCTTATGTGAATACAGCTATTGTGACTCGAGCCAAGAGAATCTGCTACCACTTATTTGAAACTTCAGGTAGTACAACTGATTAAAGTCAGTGAGTTAACCTCTACCTTGGAACATAATTCTTGGAGTCCTAAGTGTAATTTTCGGGATTCATACTGGCACAGCAGTTCACACAAACGTATTAACCGTTATAAAGGTCGAACAAATAAGCTTTGCTTTTATCATGTAAATTTTGAGGAACAAGAAAGGATATCCCAGGCTCCATGTTCTTTTCACCAAAAGGCAAATTAATAGGGTGATCACTTTCTGGCCAAAATAGCTACTGTCAGGTGAATCATATACTGTTGGCTGACTCCTCTACAAAAATAAAATATTTAATTGATACTGGTGTCGATGTGTTGGTATTACCAAAAAAAATATGCTTTGTGTTCTAAGTCTTCCCAGAATTTGGTATTATTTGCTGCCAGTGGATTTAAAATTCCCACATTTGGCACTACATCTTACTTTGAATTTAAATTTACGTCATACTTTTACTTTGTTATTTGTCACTGCAGATGTAAATCAGCTAATTATACAGGTGTAGATTTCCTTAATATAGATAGATTACTTGTTGATGTTGCTAATAATCACCTTATTTATTCAAAAACTAATTTGTCATCGTGTGGTAAATTATTTGGGAATTCTTTTGATTAGGGTATATCTGTATTTTTTGGTGATTCTAATTTTGATAGATTACTAGCTGAGTATCCCAAACTCTTTAATTCTTATTATGTAACCAACAATAATCAGAAATCAACAATTTTCCAGTATATTGAGACTAAAGGTCCTCCTGTGTTCTCTAAACCTTGTTGTTTGTTGCCGGATTTATTCCAACCTTCAAAACAAGAGTTTGACCTTATGTCACGAAGAATCATTCAGCCATCCAAAAGCCCTTGGGCCAGCCCTCTTCAGATGGTTCTTAACGGCGGTCGCCAAACTTTAGAACTTCATAGACCACTAAATATATAATTTCTTATTTGGCAGACCACTAATATGAATTTAGAAAAAAAGGTAAATATATTTATATGGTAATAATCAGAAACCGTTTATTTTATTAATGCGAAATGCAGCCATTAGAGGTAACAAAGTTATAGAGCAGTTATTAAAAAAAAAAAAAAAAAAAAGAGGAAATTTTAGGTTTATTTAAGTATTACACACTTTTAGTGTGATATTTGTTCCTGTTTGTTTGACATCAGTTAGTGGATTTTTGGTTGTAGTCATATCACTGCAAGAAGAAGAGCCACGTTTATTTCAGACCTGTACCAAGTTTTAATTGATGTTCCAATTGAAAACGTCTTTTCACACAAATATGTTGTCAAAAATTGAATTAAAATTTCAATTCCTTTCCACTGAGTGATGAGTATTAATTTTTTATAGAGAGACAAAAATGAGGTCTTGATAAAAAGACTGGAATTTAGTTTTTAAACTGTCTCGCAAGACAGATCAATCTGGCTTTCTTTTTCATTCCTGCGTAATTTGCCATCTTCAGTGTTTGCTGACAATGGATAACAATTTAATCTGCATATTTCCATGCCTAAGATCTTCTTGCTTTAGGTAATAAAAACCAAACTATTCTGCCAGTGACTGTAAGTGCTGTTGAATAATGGATACCACTTGCTGGTTGAGACCCTTCTCTCCCATACTTTGATTAAAATTTATAAACATTTGTATATTTCCTTCTGCAATGTTTGCCACAGTGATACTGTTTTTGAAAAGCATATATTTTACTCATACTGTAAACACGTGTTTAAGTTGTCCTTACAACACGTGCCAGGTATGGAAGCTTGGCTACCCACTCAAATCGTCGGACAGGAGTTCTTGAAATTCTGGATTGTTTTGCTGTTGAAGAATAATTTGATTTCTTCACGTAGGATGAACAGTCGAGTCAATATTTTGCCCCTCAAAAGTCATTTCACCTCTGTGTGAAGAAGAAAAAGGTGTGTAAGGCAGTGTGTATACAGAAAGTCTGAGTGATTTACATTTTTCACCTTTGCATCATCTCGTGAGCGATGTCTAGTCATTTTCAGTCATTTCTTCACTTCTGGTCTTAAGAGTGTTAGCAGACTTATTACTTTCTGTACAGCTTCTTTTCCCCAAACCTCTTCATGAGCTTGCAATACACAAGGCTTGAATAATTCTTCTTCGTATATGGCTTTTCTGTTTTGCTATCAGATAGAAAGCTTTTGATAGGGACTTAAACAACCACGTTTTTAAGGTACCTATACACTTTTGCATATTTTCATGCATTTTTTGAAAATATTCAGTAGTTTCTTAGCTAAATCTGAGTATTTTGATTTCGAGTATTTTTTTAGTTTTGAAGGTTTTATGGCATCATTAGATAAACTCTGATGACAGATAGTACAAAAAGGCTGTAGATTCAGCTAACTATTGGGTTCTGGAATAAACCCAAATTTCAAGTAATCTGAATCATATTTTCTTGTTATTTTTGGTTTTTTCCTTTGCACCTCCAGTTTGAATTTTCTTTCTAATGCTGTCTGATCGTGACGAGGAATGTGGATGCTTTGATTCATTGATCACCTCTCGGTAAGTGAATTAATTCCAGTTTCACTAGTTATTCTATCATTAGTTTTATTAAAGAAAGGCAGGATATTCACTTGCATTTTCTCACTTACTATGCTTCTATTATCTATTTTATTTAAATCTGAAAACCATAAAAAAATTAAAGAAAATTATTAATGAATGAAAAATGTCCATAAAAGGTGCATAAATTATGTCCTAATTTTTCTGTGGACCATCAAAAATTTTCCATGTACCACTGGTTGGCAACCGTGGGTTCATAAAGCTAATGGTGATTGCCGCCCTTGCACTGATTATCACCACCTGAATTTTACAGGTGAATTCCTCCATTAGGATAGTTTCTAACTGGAAAAAGCTGAAAAACTGAAACTGGCTGAAAAAGGTAAGTGTCAATTTCATGGGTGAAATTGACACTTACCTTTTTCAGCAGCAATTTCATGGGTATCTAAAAAAATTTCAGTGAGATTAAGGTCTGAAGATTATGGCAGCTGCCCCATATAAGAAT